GTTATCAATTGCTGGTCAAAGTTGGACCATGGAACCCTGTTCTGCAGTATTGTGATATGGTGTTGCTTAAATTATTCCGAGCGGTTAATTAGTAGTAGTGGAGTATCGTGTTTTTCATTCCTTTTTATCTTTTGGACTTTTGGACTTATTGGTCATCCCTACATACTCAATACCAGTACTATGCATCCACTTTCTTAATTAATGGTTATTCTATTACCTCGACTTTTTATATAACAGGTCTCGTATTTAGCATTGCGTACAATACAATATGTATTTATTACAAAATGTATGCTTATATTACATAACAGTTGTAATAGGTCATTACGAAAGCCTTAAGTAATGGGTGATCCTTTTATGCAACGTGATAAGTCCCTACGAAACCCTTCGTAATGCTTTTGATTTTAAAATATAAGTAAGAAATAACTATCATTCCGTAACCTTTATGTAATGGATTTGTATTTTACATAACCATTATAACAAGTCAATAAGTGATTACATGCATTTAGGTTACCACTGTTTTGATAATTAACGATCTAAATTAATTTTTGTATTTTCACCATATAAATTCATGTGATTTACCTAAATTGAAATTATTTCCAAATTATTTTTGGAGATTCGATCAAGTTTATATATGGCTTACAAATTAACTTGAATGGTTTTTTTACCATTTCATTTTCATGCGAATATATCGATATTAAATAGATTTGAAAGGAATTGGACTGTTGTATATGCCTATTATTTTGATAAAGTTATACCTGTGAAGCTGCACCATTTGTCTCTATTCAATATCATGCATGCCACCACAGCTTTAGATAATTGAAGTTATTAAAAGTCAATTGTAGTTATGGGTTAAATTGAGTTCGTGCTTTATACTAACCAAATTCACCATCCAAGAAAATAGAGTTCGCGAATTAGGGGCGACCTGCTGCAAATTCGCGCTGTACCGCTTTGGTGCGGGATCGCGGGCATTAAGATTTTAGCTCTGTCCCCCCACCAACTTTTGGTTCACCTAAAAATTCCCTCCTGAAATCCTGTCGGCCGAGTCCGATCTCGGAAACCGCCGGATACTTGAGCCGCAGCTGCTTTCACTCATACCCAGGCTTGATCCAGGCTTTATTAGGCTTTGTAATGGAGATGGGACAAGAAAATGAAACCAATGGGCCTTTCTCTACATTAATATTCAAAAAAGAAAGCCCACAAACCACATGAGCCTCGATCTACAGGCCATTACAAACCTAAACCTATTGGCCGCTGCACCCATATAAAACATCCTCACATCCGTGTGTATATATAAAAAAAAAAAAAAAATGGATCCACTACCAAATTGTATACCACCCACGTTTTTAATTCAACCACTAACTGCCAAAATGCAAAGTTCTCCCACTAACCCATTTAACCCACTTTCCACACACACTTACACCACTACATGCGGCCAAGGGAATCACATTCAAGTTTGGAACCACTTTCTCTCCTTTATGTAATGGAGATACCTGTTACAATTTTCGTTTACTACTTCCCAAACAGAACACTTCGGCTCCAATCACCGTGCGAATTGCATTCAATATGGCGGGCCTACCTCAATTCAATCAATAAGTACTGCTCATGTATCCAACGAATACTACATTATGTAATTTCGATTCTTTTTCACTACTTAGTGCCAAAACTTACAGTCCAATATATAGGCTTCCCCATGGTTTTATTGCTAATCTGCAATACGATGATGTTGTTGAAATTTGTGAGCGTGCCAACACTATCGATCTCATTATGTTCCAAAGGGATGTCGCAAATCAGGTAACAAAACGACTAAATTTCTTTTTAATCGTAAGCCTTTTGTGGCATGCTCCATTTTCTCTATTTGCTTTGACCATATTCGTTTCTGTGTTTACATCAGGGCAACTCTTTTCTGTTATCAGGACGTGTAACGGATTTGACGACGTCCTGGTCCCCTGCATCTAGAATCCATTTCGTCCACCTCACAATTGAGGACGATTTCATTGGTGTTGACATCGTCTTCCCGTCATCACAGTTACGAATGATTGTTGGGTCTGTATTCAGTCATGCAGATGTTGTCAATGCTGACTATATGGCCCTTCTGAACATGCTTGGAGGACAGACATTTGAAGTCATGGTCACAGTCGGTCCCTGGTACAATGCATTTGGTTATTGTGAACTTGTGTTGGTGAAATTATTTTTGCCTTTGTTTAATTGAGTACCATGTCGTGAACAATGAGACAATGTCTTGAGTTTTTCTATTTTGGACCTGCATGTTATTTTTCGTAATACACAACTAGATTAGATTTGTTATTAGTCAAATTTCATGTAAGTATTTTTTTCTTGATTAGCTAATCTTCAAATGTATCCTCCTCATCCTTACAATACGTGTGTGAATGGTATGCTTTTTCCCTTAATTAATTAATAACTTTATTTTTAACTTATTGTGAATGTTCATTCACATTACATGTTCGTCTTCACCGAAGTGCAAAATTGCAATAATCTTATGATAATATAAAACAAGACTCATTAACATTATAGATATTGTTACTCCATTTTCCTTAAACAATTGCACCTTCAATACATTTCGCTGAATCGAACCGTCGGTTATTATTTTGTAGATTAAATGAATCATGTGGTTTGGGTTAGAGAATTAGGAACTGGGGTTCACCCATTAGAAGTTAGGGTATAGTACAATACCCCAAACATTGTACGACCGTAGAGTTTTACTATTTGCAGCACGAATCAACCAAAGTTTGAGACATGATACTATACCCTAACCTCTAATGGGTGAACCCCAGTCCCTAATTATCTAACCCGAGCCACAAGATTCATCTAATCTAAAAAATAATAATTGACGGTTCTAATTCATCGCAATATGTTGAAGTGCAAATAACAAGTGTGAACACAGGCTTACAACGTACGACAGACGTACGCTAGCCTTTGTCATATATAGTGGCTAGCGTACATTGTACTCCCGTCGATTTTTACTATTTAGAGCATGAATTAATCGGAGTTTGGGCCATCATACTATACCCTAACCTCTAATGGGTGAACCTTAGTCCCATATTCTCTAACCCAAACCAGAAGATTCATTTAATTTAAAAAAATAATAACCGACGGTTCTGATTCAGCAAAATATTTTGAAGTGCAAAAACCAAGTGTGAACACATGCATATAGCGTATGCTAGCCTTTGCCATATATATATAGAGGCTAGCGTACACGCGTCGTACATTGTACGCTTGCGTTCACACTCATAAATTAATTTTTAATTATTTTTATTGTAATTATGAGTCAATTAATAATTAATAATAATTATAATACAATCACATCCAATAATTAATTGTTATATAAGTTTTAGTCCACAATCACATCCAATCATTAATTGTTATAGAAGTTTTAGTCCCATCAATTTTTGTCATTGATTAGCATCTAATCAATCAACTATCGGTTATATAAACTGTTGTACCTTATTTTTCCGATTCATAAATTTAAAACACCCAAATTGTTTGATTAAACATAAAAATCCAATTATTAATTCTAATATCCAATCCAATTTTATGCTCAACTTTGTCTCACAAAACTTCCCTGTGCACCAGTATTATATGAATGGGGAGGATTGTTTGTTTTTCTGTCGTTCCAGCTCTGTTCGTGGTGTTGGCCAGAGATGGGTTTGCCATGATGATAGTGGTGGTGGGTAGCTTCTCTTCTGTCTCTCTATTTGTGTTTGCGGTGGTGGTGTTGACGGATGTGTACGACGATGGTAAAGAGTGTGAGCACTTGTTGAAGGCGGTGATGATTGGGAACTCGCTGTCAGAACTCGAATCTGCTGCCCAGATTCTGGGGGGGACAAGTTCCGGGTTGACTCCAAGCCTACCATTGGTGCTACGTTCGCTTAGGCAATGGTGAAGCTCATGTACGCCAAAGATCCAGTGGAAAATGGATATGAAGCTCTCCAGGATCTGTTGACAAGAAGGTTTCCCGATGCCGTAGCTCCGATTACTGAGATGCTACATCTCTCTTGCCTCTTGGTGTCAATGGCGCGCGCCTATACTTCTCCAATTTCAGTTTGTTGCACCTGCAGTCTTACCAATTTGTTGATCTGCACTTTTTAGGTTTTTACGGATGAACACTTTGAAGAAGATGGCAAAAGAGAGTTTTGATCTGAAAAGTTTGCCCAAGAAACTCCAAGTTGTGTTTTATCAAAACGTTTAGTATGGTATAGGTGAAGTAATGGGCCAAAAACGAAGACGCCCACAAATTTGGTAAAACTCATTTTTGTAGTGAGCCCACCGAAAAACATATTAATCAGACTAAGCCCACAAATTGAGTAAAATTTGTTCTGATAATTGGAGCCTTAAAGCTCTATCCATTTATTTCCTCGACCCGACGTTGAATTTTTTTTATGTTCTTTACCAAGAATTCAAATAAGGTTTGGACCCGCTCTGTTCCTGGTCAAAATGAACTATTCTCAGAAAATCCACAGTAATACGACATGCTCTTTTTTCCATTCATTCCTGTCAGGATCAGTCGCGGTCTTACAAACTATACCGATAGTATGGACGAATTTGGTTCTTCATCCAAATGTGTAAAATATGTTAGTCGCACTTAAAAGCCGAGTACTCTACCGTTGAGTTAGCAACCCCCTAAAAATTTAGGTTATATAATAAAACCTATATCTAAAGAGCTTTCGGTTTGGGAGTCGTTATCAACTACTAGTTATTTCGGACTAGAAATCTCGTCATCATGTTTTAAAATCAAGGTTTGCGAAACCATACCGAAAGGTAGTTGTCTCATCTCAATTGGCGAGGTTCTGAGCTAAGCAAATGTGATAACTCAAATACAGTACAGATACAGAAGGCAAAGCAAGATGATGCACTTTCAGATTTGAGCGATATATTGGGTTATCGGAAAGGCATGGCAGTTGACATGGGCTCTGAACTTGACAGGTCACTTCTGCTAAGATAAGATGATCATGTTCCACTGTTTACTGCAGAAAATATAGAGGGAAAAAAAGGGAAAGAGATCGCATCGAATATATTTCACAGAGACAAATACACCACAACTTAGTTGATCCAAGAGATCCAACATACATTAATTCGATGAAATGCAGCAAGTTCTGGTCCTTCAGTTCAGAAGTAAAAATTTATTTCAAAACCAAACTCCAACATACATCAATTCAATGAAATCCAGCAAGATTTGAGAGGATAAATCCAAGTAACTAACTGATCATGATGACCATCGCCTGTGGGAAAGTAGTGCTAGCGTCCGATGTTAGCTTCCTCTTTCGGCACTATCAAACTGCAAAAGAAGCAAAGGGGAATCATTGGGTTTCAAAATAAAAGCAAAAAGAACAGAGGTACTTGACAACTTGATCAAGCATACAAGCCTGAGGATTTGTGTAAGCTGGCCCAATGGAGAACGTCTTCCTCAAGGTGCTCTCTTGGCGTCGCCATTGCCGGTGGTGATTCCCAAAGTACACCAAATACCCTCAATGGGTGGCCCAGAAGACGACAACCAAGGGAGTGCGCGCCACCGGCGATGTCTCCGGGAAGGCAGAGGTTACGAACAGAGTCCACCAATTACTCGTCGCCAAATCCCTGACATAATTTCCTCTTCTCTTCTCTTCTCTCACCCTACTTCTCTGGTCAAATACCCTATCACTTGATTGGCATAGACTCTTATATCCATATTAAACTCTCGATCAACAAACTCGAAGACGAAATCGCCACCACGTACCCACAGGAGCACGCTTATCCACTCGAACAACTACCTGATGAAGACGATCTCCTCTTGCATCTCATCCCCCTTGGCCTTGCTGCGTCCCCTCCCATAGCAGCGCCTCCTTCCTGCGAGAGATCGATCTCAGAAACCCTAGAAACTAGAGAGATCAGTCCGCCTGATTTGGGTTCGGAAGATGCCACAACCTTGATGTACAAATAAATGACTATGGCGGCTGCATTTTCATGGTAGTTACGGGAATTGGCCATTCTCATCCGTCGAGAGAAGAGAAGAGATAAAAGATGGAGACCAGATGCAGTCTCTCCCTCCCGACGACGAAGGAGAAAGGTAAATGGAGACAAAGGATGGAAAATGTAAAGAGGAGGAGATGAATGGTCTGTGGTAAAATGAAGTTTTCTCATAAGAATGAACTTGAATGGATTGTTAAAATTTATAAATGACGTTTTTTTTTAAATAAGAAATTTGTGTGCTGTTAATTATGATTAGCAAAAATTAAGGTACTGTAATTTTAATGTTGAATATTTATATGATTGATTTGAGAAAAAGTTTATATGGAACTAAATCGTATAGAAAATTTAATTAATAGGTGTATCTGTAATTTTTTTATCAATTATTGATTTAATTATAACTAATTAAAAATATTTACAAGTGTGAACATAGGCGTATAGCGAACGTCAGGTGTACGCTAGCCTGAACTATATATATATTGGCTACTTTGGTGCACTCACTTTTTTGGTGCATTCAAAAGTGGTTATAACTTATAAGACATCAAATTTTGAACTTTAATTGGTAAAATTAGTCTAATATGATGATATAACATATAATCACACTAGTCAATCCATTATCCTAACCCGTTAACCTTCAATTTGATTGTTGATCTATTGGTTAGGTATGGTTTTTCTATTTTTCTGTTGGTTTAAAGATGATATGAGGTAAGTAAGATGAGACTTTTCTATTGGTCATGTATAATTTTTCTCTACAAAGTGACAAAAGGGGTGTGTGGTGTTGGTTTAAAGCATAGATGAGATTAGACAAGGAGATGAGGTAGGTAAAATGAAGCTTTTCTAGTGGTCGGGTAGGATTTTTCTCTGCAAAGTGACAGAAAGGGGTGTGTGGTGTTGGTTTAAAGTAGAGATGAGATGAGATAAGATAAGGAGATGAGGTAGGTAAGATGAAGCTTTTCAATTGGTCGGGTAGGATTTTCTTTGCAAAATGACATAAAGGGGTGTGTGGTGTTGCTTTAAAGTTGAGATGAGATAAGAAAATGAAGTAGGTAAGATGGAGCTTTTCTATTGGTTGAGCTACATTTCTGAGATAAGTTGTGATTTAATAAATAAGCAAGTCATCTAGATAATTTCTTATTCCTCCCACAAACTACCTTCTTGCCTTTTCTCTTATGGATCCATCTGGTCTCCCCTTCAACCCATACTTCAATTTCTCACCCGGTTCTTCCAATTATCTGCATACTGATGATACACAAAATTCTGGCAATCCTTTCCCAAATCCTCACATGAACCATCCATTCTTTTTCAAATACGAGTAATTTCCCAATGCCCATGTACACAAACCGAACTTTGCATATTTCCAACAAAACTATCCAATAACTCAATCCTTACCAACCTAATATCCAGTCACTCCAACTATTCATACTGAAAAAGATTATCCATTTCCTGGGTATTGTAGCCAAGAAAGGTCCACACAAGTTGAACCAAGTAGCGATGGAGGAAAAGTTCGTTGGAAAGAATGTGGCGACCTTCTGTTGTGTAGCTCATGACTTAACATCGGCAAAGATGCAACAATTGGTACAAATCAAAATCTGAGTTGTTTTGGGAAACATGCATTATTAAGAGGAATGACGTGACAAAGACTCTCAAGCTCTGAGAAGTAAACAGGCAATGATGACTCATTGGACCAGAATCAACCAAGATGTATCAAAGTTTGTTGGTTGCTATGGCAAAGACTCTCACGACTGCAAAGGTAAGACTAGAGGAGGAACGAGAGAGGAAGATAGAATCATACAAGAGAGATAAGTTAATGGTGAAATTGATGGTGTTTGTACCATCTCACTCCGGTATGAACAATGATATTTGTTGGTGTGGGTCGACTCATCATCCGTTCGTCCGATCTCGTTGGGAGAGAGAGAACCTGTGAAAGAGCCGGGGTTGCCCCCCGGATTAAGCTCCGATGATCAAGTCAGTTTATGTTTAAGGTGAAAGTTGAGAGAACAAGGTAGAGAGATAAAGTGTAGAGAGATAATGGAAAGTGGAAAGTGAGGAAGGAGAAGAAGAAGTCCCCTCCTTTGGAGGGCTTCAAGCTCTTATATACTTGTAGCGGGTATCGAGCGTTGGGAATCGCCGATTATGCGCCCTACTATTTTGTCTGTGCGCGGAGTATCTTAGTAACACCCCCAACAGATGGAAATGGATCTATCAATGATGACAGATGCAAAGAAAATGTGGTATGAAAATAAAATCCTAGAGTTACTCGATGATCAGTGCTTTTATTTTACGTTTTGAAAATTGCAAGACCGACCCATGATATTCGGAGGTCTTGTTTGAAAATTAAAAATGTGGTCTTGTTTGAAAATTAAAAATATGGCACTGTTTTAAAAATATTCGGAGGCCCTATTTGAAAATTAAAAATAAAATTTATTAAATAATGATAAAAATAAATAAGTTCATAAAATGATTACAAAAAGAATAATATTTTTTAAATTAACGTTGGAGCCTCTAATTTGTTTTGAGAGGGTTATGGGGAATTATCGAATTGATTGCAGATTAATTATGGAAAAGAGGAGGAGTGGCGCCGCTGGGCAGAAGAGGAAGATGAATTGACGATGGCTTTTTTCAATTTTCATATTTGTTTTTTAATATATATATATATATATATATATATATATATATATATATATATATATATCCTACCATTATTATATGGAGATTCTCCATCAAAACATACTCTATTCAAAATTTCCAGCCTTATGAGAGTTTGTAGGAAGGATATTTTTGTCATTTAAATTATTAAAATAAAATAATTTTAGACTCCTAAATCAATAATATTTCATACAAGAACAACACTAAAAAACGAAGCTATTAAAGCATAAATAATAACATCACATGAGATATTATTGACCAGCAACATTAAATATATAATAGATTCCTATTTCCGTCAATATGTTAAAAAAGAAGCATGAATGGTGTTAGTTTATATATTACGTCTGCTGTGGAGCTTTTTTATGATGAATCCTATAAAAAAATTCAAGTTTTCCTAAATTTTTTACCCATTATATTTTCATTAATTCACCGATGTTCGGTCATGCTTATCTCTAACTATTTTTACTCATTGATAGTAAATATGTCCAAATAAAATATTTTAACCTTTAGTTTGAAAACAAATGTGTGGGATTTTAAACTCTTGGGTTAGTAGCTACGCCAATTAAGAATCTTTAATTAAAATTTGATGAAATGAAGGTGAAGAAGAAAGTCTATTGATGGTGGAGTAATGAATTCAAAAACAGTGATAGTAAGTAGTGACATTGTTGAGCAGAAGGGATAGATTATTGATGTTGGACAGAGAGGCTTCAATGATGAATTTGAAACTACAATTGTTGTCAGAGATGATGATACATGTGGTGAAGCAATAGCAAAGAAGTCTTAAAGAACAATAACAACAATTTCTTACAACACGAAGTAGATCGAAGTGTAGTTTGATAAAAAATTTTAATAGTTAGTTCATTTCCATATGTTCTATGTTATATTTTCAGTAAGAACTTCAGTTGATAAACCGGTTAGCATATCAGAAAACTCTATCATGTAAGTCCTTTTTTATTTTTTCATTAATTGAATAGTTCAAATCTTTTGACTTTTTATATCAATAAAATATATATTGCTTCGTACAATTACAATTGTGGCTTAAGTGTTTGAAATAATGCATCTTGCCAACGGGTATGGTACTTTTATTGATGAACGGTTAGCATATAAAAAATGTTATGATGTATGTTCCTTTTTTATTTTTTTCATTAATTGAGTAGTTCGGATTTTTAAATTTTTTGTACCAATAAAAATATATCTTGCTTCGTACAATAAAAATTATTGCTAATATGTTTGAAATAATGCCTCCGGCCAACGGGCCGGGTTCGAATCTAGTATATATATATAAAAATTCTTGCAGAAGAGGAAGATGAATAGACGACGGCTTTTTTCAATTTTCATATTTGTTTTTTTAATATATATATGGTTATGTCTTCGGTGCACTCACTTTTTTTGGTGCATTGAATGCACCCGCCTCATAATCGTCATTTTGAGCAGGCGATTCATGTGAAAACGATGGCAATCATTCAAGAACCAAGAACCACATGAATTTGTACAAAAATCATTCAAGATTCTCTTTAATTTGAATGATTCAGGGTTTAGGAATTTAGGGCTAGGGTTAGGGTTTACAATTTGGGATTTTGGGTTTAGATTCAAAATTGAATGTTAATAGGTTAGGGTAATGGGTTGATTAGTTGTGATTCTATGTTATATCATCATTTGAGACTAATGCTACCCATTAAATTTCAAAATTTAATGTATTATGACCACTTTTAGATATATATATAAATTCTTGAGGCCCCAAAATTTGTTATGCTGATGAGGCCCAAAATTCCTGAATCGCTATTCGTCGCCCTAAAATTTAAATTTTATCGCCCTAAAATACAATAAATTGACATTGTTACCCTCAATTTCAACCTAAACAGAAAAATATATGTTCCCCTACCCAGTGGTCGGCGAGCCGAGCTTCTCTGTTTTCTGACCGTTGCTGCCATGCATAGCCGGATTCTTATCTCCGGCGCTGCCCACCTCAACCCAACTGTCGTTGATGCTCTGTTCTGTTGTCAGTGTCGGAGTTTTCTTCAATTCTTCATTCCTTCTTCTTCATTTTCCCCTTTTCCTCTGTTCTTTGAAGCGATTTTTGAGTTGAACAACAACAACAATAACAACCCAGATGCCCACTTCCCCCGGTGACAACGCCTCCGCAGCCGAAGCACCCAATCGTGGTGGCAAAGCACCTCCCTGCCTTTCTCCGGTTAAATCATCAATAAACTTTTTGCTAAGCCAGTACTGGGGGATTTCTCTTTGATGTCTACTAACAAAAGAAAGCCCCTGCTACTAAAACCAATGTGGAACCAAAACAAGAAAATTGCTACGTAGAGTAGAACAACAAGCAACTCACCGAAGTAATCACAATTGAAAGCAATCCAATCGCAAGTGGGTCG